AAACCCCATGATAGGTTGGTCTTAGGGTTGAGATAAATCAGAAAGGAGTTGAAGGCACACAACAACAACATGTGTATGTGTGTAAATATAATGTATATGCATGTGTGACCTAAAGCAAGTTACACTCTCTCAACCTCAGAGGATGACCCTGACAAAAAAAGAAAATCCATGATGGGTTCACCTCAGGGTCACAATGAGTTGGAAAGGACTTGAAGGCACACAACCACAACATGTGTGTTAATGTACATGTGTATATGATCTTAAGCAAATCACACTCTCTCAGCCTCAGGGGATGGCCATGGAAAAGCCCCCTCTGAAGAAACCTTGCCAAGAAAACCCTGTGATAGGGTCACCTAAAGGTCGCCATAAATCAGAAATAACTTGGAGGCACAAAACAACAGAGGGCCAACATGGCGTAGCGGTTTGAGCATTGGACTAAGACTCTGGAGACTAGCATTCAGTTCCCCACTCAGCTATGAAACCCACTGGGTGACCTTGGGCAAGTCACACTCTCTCAGTCTCAGGGGAAGGCCATGGCAAACCTCCTCTGAACAAATCTTGCCCAGAAAACCCAGTGATAGTTTTGTCTTAGGGTCGTCGTAAGTCAAAAACTACTTGAAGGCACACAACAACAAGCAGCCCAGTCTCTGCGCACTAAAAAGGAGCAGTCTACCTTGGCTTGAAGGGAACACACAGATAGGCAACCTGGATAAATACCTATGCAAAGGGATCTGGTGGTTGTTGTGTGCCTTCAAGTTGTTTCCAGCTCATGGTGACCCTAAGGCAAAACTATCCTGGGGTTTTCTTGGCAAGATTTGTTCAGAGGTGGTTTGCCATTGCCTTCCCTGGAGGCTGAGAGAGTGTGACATGCCCAAGGTCACCCAGTGGGTTTCATGGCTGAGCTGGGATTCGAACACTGGTCTCTAGAATCTGACACTCAAACTACCAACCTCAACCTCACCCAACCTTAAATATTCCACATATTATGAAATTCTCTGGCACTATATACTTCTTCACAGGGGGGTTGCAGACTGCCAGAAATAGTGCAAATTGAGTCCACTTTTAGGGTTAGGGAATCATGGGAACTGTATTTTATTGTGGCACCAGAGCTCTCTGGCAGAGAAGGCTCAATGTCTCAGAAAAAAAACAATTCCCATGAATGCAGCAGCGCTGCAAGATCCCTTTTGCACACTGATTTTTCCAGACTAACACAGTGATGTCTTTTTAAAATCATAACAGGGTGGCTCTTATATGGTGTATGTTTTATATTATGTTTTAATCTTAATTTTATATTGTTTTAACTAGGTTATTATTAATAATAATAATAATAATAATAATAATAATAATAATAATAATAATACTTTTTATTTATATCCCGCCCCTCTGCAGAGCAATCGGGGCGGCTTACAATTTATATTTCATATTATTATTTATATTAATAACTATATTATTGTTGTTGTTGTTGTGATTATTGTACATATTGTTACATATAAATATTAAAATAACCTAGTAAAACAACATAAAATTAAGATTAAAACATAAAATAAAACATAAGCCATATAAAAGCATTTATTATTATTATTATTATTATTATTATTATTATTATTATTATTATTATTATTATTATTATTATATCATGGCAGGGTCTGGACTGGATGTCCCTAGTGGTCTCTTCCAATTCTATGATTCTATGATAATAAAGCTTGCAAATGGCACTTCCATTCCTGCCTTCAAATGCAGTCAATTCTGCTGGATTTGTGTGTGGCTGAATAAGTTATGAATAATATATATATATAGAGAGAGAGAGAGAGTGTGTTTTTATCTTGTGAGCTGCCTTGAGTCCCTTTTTGGGAGAAAGGCGGGATAAAAAGTAAATAAATAAATAAATAAATAAATAAATAAATAAATGTTTGGATAAAATAAAGGTTGCATATTTTCTGGACCTCCTAGTTTGCTTGGCTTGCTTGCCCTTTCCAGACCCAGGCAGATGTCTCTGCAGGTGGAAGAAGTGATCAGATTGTGATTGGGAGGCTCCTGTCCCAAAACCATGTACGTATTTTGATTTGCAAGATCCTTTTGGTGGTAGACCCATAATGTTGTGTGGTGTGAGTGTGTACTGGCATCCCTCAATGATGCTCCTTCTGTTTTGCCCCCTTAGCAGGGAATCATTTGGAAGGCTTGCAGATGGCACCTCCATTCCTGCATTCAAATGCAGTCATCCTGCTGGGTTTGTGTGTGCCTGAATAAGTTGTGAATAAAATTTGAATAGATTAGAAAGCTGGGCCAAAACAAACGCAATGAACTTCAACAGGGAGAAATGTAAGGTACTGAAATTAGGGTGAGAAAATGAAATGCAGAGTTATGGGATGGGGGATACCTGGGTTAACAGGAATACATGCCAAAGGGATCTTGGAGTCCTAGTAGACCACAAGTTGAACATGAGTCAAGAGTGTGATGCGACAGCTAAAAAGGCAAATGTGATTCTAAGCTGCATCTTTAGAAGTATAGTGTCTAGATCAGGGACCGGCAACCTACGGCCCGCAGGTCTGTTAAGGCCCAGGTCCCCGTACTTACCGGCCCAAGCGGAAGGTTGCCGCCGCCGCCGCCGCCGCGCATTTTGGCTGCTGTGCAGCTGCGCAAGCCGCGGCCAGCATTTTGATTTTGAAAATGGCAGCTGCGACGCGTTTGCTCATGCGCAGAAGTACTGTGCATGCGCAAATGAGTTGTGGCCGCCATTTTCAAAATCAAAATGCCGGCCACAACGCGCGCAGAGGCGGCTGCACAGTGGCGGTGGTGGCAGCGTGCGTGGGCCACATTCCTCCCCCTCGGCCCAGCAGCAGAGAGGGCTTCGCGGGACCGGCCCCCGGCTCTAAAAGGTTGCCTACCTCTGGTCTAGATCAAGGGAAGTCATAGTACCCTCTATTCTGC